CAGGGCCGCCGGGGCCCCGTTGTGCCCGCGAGGTAAGGGGCTGGGGAAAGGGAGGGCCGGGGGCGGGGACTCAGGTAGCGAGACCGGGGGGCGGCCGCGGCGCCCTGAAACCGTGCGGGGCCCGCGGCGTCCGCCTGTCCCATCCGGTGGTTTTCCGCCCACGCGTCGTTGCAGGGCCCGGCGGTGTTCGAGGATGTGGCCCTGCGTTTCTCGCGGGGGGGTGGGGGCTCCTCAGCGTGGCGCAGAGGGGCCTGTACCGTGACGTGATGCTGGAGAACTTCGCGCTCATCAGCTCGCTGGGTGAGTCTTCCCAGACCCAGACCGCCGCTGCCTTTTTCCCGGGGGAAGGTCTGTCCGCACCAGAGGTCTTCCCGGTACCGTTAGGAGTGTTGGGGTGCTGGGACGGGCTGTCTCTTCTCGGCCTCTCTCAGAGCAGCCCTGGTAGCAGCCCGAACACCTGCTTTTTAAGGGGCTAATGGAGCAGGATTTGTGGGTCAGTAGTTTCACAGTTGGGCCATCAAATTCCACTCCGCTTTGCCTCCCAGGTTCTGTGACTCTGCTGAGGACGTGGCTCCCGGGTACTCTAGATTTTACCTTCCAGAAGATAATTTACAGGGCCCTCCCTGGAGCAGCCTCGGACCATGAGTTTGAATCGGTAGATCATTGGAGGCACTACTGCCATCTTAAGTCTTTTAGGTGAAACATGGTATGTTTTTCCATTTATGTAGCTCTTTAAATTTTTTTTCAACAGTCTTGTACTTAAGTGTATAAAATGTCTGCTTTTGTGTGTGTGTTATGTGTGGTACTGGGGTTAAACACAGGGCCTTTACACTGGGCTACATCCCCCACCCAGGGTCTTTTTTGAGACAGGGTCTTGCTATGTAGTTCAGGCTGACCTTGAACTCCAGGTGCTCCTCCTGCATCAACCTCCTGAGTGCTGGGATTACCCTTTTGTTTTCTCTTTGTTTTTTGAGACAGGGTCTCACTAAGTTACTAAGTTGCCCAGGTAAGACTCAAATTTATCATCTTTCTGCTTCAGCTCGAAGAGTGCTGGGATTACAGGCATACACTACCATGCCTGATTTATTTTCTTTTCTGAAACAGGGTCTCAGCTCAGTATGTAGTTCAAGCTGGCCTTGAACTCCTATGTAGCCCAAGCCAGCTTTGAAATCGTGGTGATCCTCCTGCCTCAGCCTCCTGAGTACTGGGATAACAGGTGTGCACCACCATGGTGGCTATTTTATTAATTTTATTGTACACTGTTCATTGCTAGTTGTAGAAATACATTTGATTTTTGTATATTTATGTTGTATCCTGAAGCCTTGTTGAGTTTTTAGCTCCAAAAGTTGTTTAGTGGATTCCTTGGGATTTTTTTTTTATAGGCTTCTGTCACCCATGGTTAGAGGTAGTTTTACCTGTTCCTTTGCTGTATTGACAGATCCTAGCGTAGACATCCTTGTTTTGATCTCAGCTTTCTTTTTTTCCACTATTAAGCGTGATGTTAGCTGTTCGTGTTTTGCAGGTACCCATTTCATATGAGGAAGTTTCACTTCCATTCCCAGTTGGTTGAGTACATCTGTCATGAAAGGTCATTAGATTTTGTCAAATACTTTTCCCACATTTGTTGAAATAATCCTGTGATTTTTGCCCTTCTTTTATGAATTGGTATATGTTCAGCTTTGCATTAATAGGATAAGTTCCTTCCATCATGGCATATAGCACTTTTTATATGTTTCTGGATTTAGATTGCTAAAATTTTGAGAACTTTTGCATGATATTCATGGAATCTATCAGTAGTACAGTTTTCTTGTAACATATGAAGATAATTTTAAGTGTGAGAGTAATTTGGTTTTAATAACAAGGTGGAAAATGTTTCCTCCTGTTTTCAAGAAGAGTTTGAGTTTGTGAAGTGTTGCTATTCTTGCTTTAGTACTGTTAGTATTCACCATTGAAGCCATCTGGGCCTGGTCTGTCTTTGTGTTGAGGGGAGACTTTTTTTAAACAACAAAATTCTGTTTTGTTTTGGCTTTTTGAGACAGGGTCCTGCTATGCAGTTCAGGTTGGCCTTAAACTCACTTTGTAGCTGAGGCTGGTCTTGAACTTGCAGTGATCCTCCTGCCTCAGCCTCCAGAGTGCTGGGATTACAGGCATGTGCCACCACACCTGGCACAAAATTGTTTGTTTATTTATTTATTTGTTTTTTACAATTGGGTTTTGTTTGCATTTTTAAAAAATTTTATTGGTACATTTTAGATGTACATAATGATAACATTCATCATAGGGAATTTGTACCTGTACATGATATATTTTGCTTCTTTTTTTCCCATTCTTTTCCCCTCCCTGTTTATTTATATTTTCTGTTCATCTTCAGTCAGTTTTGATAGTTTGTTCCCTGACAAAAGAACAGAGTGCTTTGACCATTGTGACACCCACCCAGCCGCAGGTTTTCCCAGCAGCTTTCAGCCCAAGACAGGACTTTGACCATTCCCAGGAACTCACAAAGGTGTTTAAGTTGTTGCCAAGACACCGGCAGAAACTGGCCCTGGCCCTTAGTCTGAGTCAGTGATGGTGAACATTATAGAGGTTTCAGCGGTACAATAGCCTGCTACAGCATGCATGCCATAGGTTCCCCACTACTGGCCTAAGTTCCCAACCCTGATAGAACCTCCATACCCTGATTCCCTCACTGTGGACCTATCTACATAAAAGTCTCTTTCTCTTGCAGTCCTCCTGAAGCTATGCTTTAGGCATTATAAACACTTTGGACTGATCACTTTGGGCTTTAGTGCTTCTTTCTCTGGAATGCCAAGTCCCTTGTGCATAAATCCCCTGCCATAGCATTTGGGGTATTCTACCTTCAAGTTTGGCCAGATGAAACAATTCCTGTTTGTAATAAATAACACCTCTCTCTTCCTCCCTCTTTCCTCTATTTATTCTCTTTCACACCATCTAGGTCAGTGGTAGCGAACCTTTCAGAGCTTTTAGTGATGCAGACTGCCCACTGGAATGTGTGCCAAGATTCGCCACCACTGATCTAGGACCAGATTTGGGTTTTGTTTGTTTTGTTTTGGTACCAGGAATCGAACTTAGGACCTTGCGCTTACCCAGCAGGCGCTTGCACCGCTGAGCTATGCCCGGCCCTGGTTTTGTTGATTTTATTTTTTTATTCTATATTTTATTTGTTTCTACTGTAATCATTATGCCCTTCTACTAGCTTTGGGTTTAGTTACTTTTCTTTGTGGTTTAGTTACTTTATTAGGGGGGATCTTTCATTTTTTTATTTGTATTTATTTATTTTGTTCTGTGGTCCTCTTATCTTCCTGCCTCAGCCTCCCAAGTGCTAGGATTAGGCATATGGCACCACACCTAGCTTTTTTTTTTTTTTTTTTTTTGGTCTTTTTGAGACAAGGTCTCACCATGCAATTCAGGCTGGCCTTGAGCTCACTTTGTAGCCCTGGCTCGTCTCAAACTCAACGATCCTCCTACCTCAGCCTCCTGAGTGCTGGGATTACAGGCATGCGCCACCACACCTGGCTACCATGCCCTCTTTTTTGGTTTTTTGAGACATGATCTCAGTATAGCCCAGGCAAGCCTCCAACTCATGATCCTCCTGCTTCAGCTTCCAGGGTGTCAGGATTACAGGCAGGCATGAGCCAACTTGACTGGTGAGGTATTTTTAAATATGGGTATGTGGGGCTGGGTATGTAGCTCAGTGGCTGAGTACTTGCTTAGCATGTGTGAGGCTATGGGTTCAATCTGCAGCACTGCAAAAAGAAAAAGAGGAAAAGAAGAAACATGAGCGTTTGTATTTTTTGTTGTTGCTTTTGCTGTATCCCATAACTTTTGGTGTGTTGTATTTTCATTCTCATTTATGTCAAAGTACTTTGTAATTTTGTGTGATTATTTTTTTTTTTTCTTTCACTTCTTGGTTATTTAGGAGTGATTTGTTTAAATTCCATAAATTTCTCTTTGTTTTAATTCCTTTGTGGATGTTGTGGTTGATACATTGTGTCAACTTGGGGAGTCTAGAGGTTTGGCTAAGTGACTCAGCAGGAAGCCAGGGTGCTTACTTTGTATACATCCTGAGCCTATGGAAGAGGAGGGCATGGAGATTATGTGAGAGCTACAGGCTCCTTAGGTGGGGATAGCCTGTTTACAGTGTAAGGCAGGGAAAGAAGCCACTTGGCACCATTCTGCATGTTTGCTCTGGCTGCTTTGCTGTTCGGCTGCCATTCCCCCCTTTGCTCTTGTTGCTTTGCTATCTTCTGCCTCAGAGCCAAGCAAGTATGGACTGAAACCTCCACAAACTGTAAGCTAAATAAACCTTTCCTTCCTTCATTTTGGGCGTTGGGTATTTTGTCTCAGCAAGGAGAGAAAAGTAACCAAGACAGTGGACAATATACTTTGTATGATTTCAATTCTTTAAAGTCTGTGGAGAAGCAGGGCATGGTGATGCATACCTGTAATCCCAGCACTTGGAAGGCTGAGGCAGGAGGATCCCCATGAGTTCGAGGCCAACTTTGGCTACATAGTGAGATCAAGGTCAGCCTGAACTGCATAGCAAGACCAAAAATAGTTAAGAGCAGGATTTATACTACTAATTTCCTTTAGTTCACTGAAAAGAAAGGTTTGTGCTAATATTGTTTAGACAATTACATGCTGATATCTTGTACTCTGGGTAACTGGTTTAATGACAGCATTTTTTATTTTTTATTTTTTTTGGTACTAGGAATCAAATCTAGGACCTTGCACTTGCCAGGCAGGCACTTGTGCCACTAAGCTGTATCCCCGGCTGGGTAACAGATTTAAATATAACAGTACACAGTGTATTAACCATTGTTACTGTCCTCTTGTCTTGAAATTTTTTTTTTCTCTTTAAAAAAAGTCTATGAAGGATTGTGTGTCCTAGCAGATGATGTATTCTCAGGACCATTCCACATGTGTGCAGACGTGTGCAGGGAATGTGGACCTGCTATGGGTCATCAGCATGTTCATCCATGTTGCCAGGGCTAGTTGTTTTCCAGTGTTGATCTAGCTGCTCTGTCCTTACTCATTTTCTTCTTTATGGTTTTACCCATTAGTGAAAATGGAAAATTAAAAAGGCCCCAATAATTATGTTAAATTGTCTTCCATATGTCAGTATGTCGATTTTGTTGTGTGAGAGAGCTTTTTTTTTCTGTAAAACAGTCATCACACACACCCACCTGCCCACCTCCCATGCTAGCAATTAAACTTCAGTTATTTTGTTTTGTTTTTGTTTTTTGTTTTTTTTTAAGGTAAGGTCTAAGTGACTAAGTTGCCCAAGCTGGGCTCAAACTTGGATCCTTCTGCCTTAGCCTGTCAGGTCTGGGATTATAAGTTGTGCACCACCATGTCCAACTGAGATCCTGTCTTAAAACTGTTTTTGTTTTTGTTTTTGTTTTTTGTCTTTGTTTTTGTTGCAGTACTAGGAATCGAACTCTTGACCCAGCGCTTGCCAGGCAGGCGCTGTGCCGCTGAGCTAAATCCCCAGCCTGTTTCTTGTCTTTCTGAGACAGGGTCTCGCTGTGCAGTTCAGGCTGGCCATGAGCTCACTTTGTAGCCCAGGCTGGTCTCGAACTTGCAAAGATCCTCCTGCCCCAGCCTCCCAAATGCTGGGATTACAGGCGTGCACCACCACGCCTGGCCTTCCTGTCTTAAAATTATAATTTTTTTTTTTTTTACAAAGGAGTCAGGGATGGTGGTGCACACCTGTAATCCCACTACTGGGGAGGCTATGGCAGAGAACGACAAGTTCAAGGCCAGCCTGGACAATGCAGTGAGACTGCTAGTCCAGCACAGCTCTCAAAGTTCCCAGGGGGAAGGAAGGTGAGAGGATGGAAAAATAAAGATAAGAGACAGAAAGCTGAGGTCAGTTGGAGCCCTCTTTCCAGCTAAAGGAAAAGGAACTGCTCAACCACCATAGCTTGTTTATTTGTACGTTTTTGTTTTTGTTTTTGTTTTAAATTCATCAGAAACTGCATGATTTTTCCTTTTTGGGTACCGGGAATTGAACTCGACCTTGTGCTTGCCAGGCAGGTGTACGCCTCTGAGCTACATCCCCTGGCCCCCTGAGATTTAAACTTTTTTTTTTTTTCCTGGTACTGGGAATCAAACTGAGGACCTTGTGCTTGCCAGGCAGGTGTACGCCTCTGAGCTACATCCCCTGGCCCCCTGAGATTTAAACTTTTTTTTTTTTTCCTGGTACTGGGAATCAAACTGAGGACCTTGTGCTTGCCAGGCAGGCACTAATGCTGCTAACTCTAACCCACTGAACTATATCCCCAGCTATTTATACTTTTAAGTTGATGTCAATTTCAGCCTCTGCCTAGCAACTTTGTAGGGCTTGTCTGAGCACCTCCCATTCTAGGAGCTGTAACAGCTTGTTTTCCTGCTCCTGTGGTGGATCTCCAGCTATAGCTACTCCCCACAGAGACCATGTGTTAAAATAGAGAGACATGTCCAGTGCACTCAAGGCTCTGGGTTGAATCCACAGTACCGTAGACCCACACATAAATAACATGTATTTACTGAGCCGTATGGGGATGTCGCACCCTGGCGTGCAGTTGGGTAGATGTGACATGGTTAGCACAGCAGAGGCCAGGGGTCTCCTTGAAGAAAGGCCCAGGGAGTGCAAGACATTCTTTCAGTACAAGAGCTTCCTTCGCCAGAGTCCACAGTAGAGAGAGGCCCTTCCTGTGCTAGCATTGTGGGAAAACCTGAGGCCCACTGAGGCCTGTACTAGCACTATCCTTGGTATACAGACCTGAGGTGCCTGAGTGTCAGGAGTAGGCTCGTGGTAGGCTGGGTGCCTGTGTATCCTGGGGTTTGGTATTGTAGTGAGGGACCACACTTCATTCCCACCATCTCCCTCTAGACACCTTCATCTTACCATCTCTGTTGTATGACTCTCAGGCTCTGGGTGGCCCACCTTTGGCTTGTTTCTCACTTTTTCTTTGTTCTGGGCAAAGCTGTGTGCTAGTGACCATTCTGTGTGTGATGCGAGGCATGCACATACCTTTAAATAGTATATGAACAACAACTACTATTTTACACTTAGATTTGGCTAGGACTAAACTTCTGCCTCTTCACAGTGCTCAGCTGACATGAGCTATTGAATCTCTGCTAAAACCTTCTGCAAAGGACTCTCAGAGACCTGGGTCTGTTCCCTGCACTGCACTCATCTGTTTGTTTAGTCCTGAGGATTAGACCCAGGGACTTCTTTTTGAGCTACATACCCAGTCCTTTTTTTTTTTCTTTTTTTCCTTTTCTTTTTCTTTATTTTGAGACATGATCTTGCCAAGTTGCCCAGGCTGGGCTCAGACTTGTAATCTCCCCTGATCAGCCTTCCAGAGTGTTGGGATTACAGGCGTGTACCACAATGCCTGGCTCTGCTTTTGTGTCCTCGTGTCCATTTAAGTCAGTCCTACTCTGTGGTTGGTAGAGCCTAGGTCTGCGGGCTCAGCATAGCCTCGCCCAGATCTATCCAAGTGACCTCCCAGCAATTCCATGGAGCCCTTCTTGTAAGGATGATTCAGGTACCTCCTTACAGTCCAGTTCCAGTAACTGACTTCTTTGCTTTCAGGTTGCCTGTGTAGAGTGAAGGATGAAGAATCTCCTCCCGAGCAAGTGAAGAGTTGTAGAATCCATGTGGGAGAGCAGACCTACATGTGTGGAGAGCAGGGTGACAACCCAGCCTCTACAGACCTCTTCCAGCCCAAAGCTTCCCTCAGTGAGAGAAAGGTGCATGGGAGCTCTGAGCACAAGCCAGCCCTCCCCAACCTCACTCACAAGCCACAGCAGGCCGTCCGCACTTCACAGAAGCCCTTCAAGTGCAGTAACTGCAGAGAAAAGTTCCTGAAGGCCTTTGCTCTCCTCAGCCACCTGATAGCTCAGCCTGAAGAGAGACATTTCTGATGCCTGGCAGGTGGAAGTGCCCCCACCAAGAACTTGGCCTCCTCTGATGACCAGAAAGACCCGTCTGAAGAAAACGCCCATGTGTGTGGTGAGTGTGGGAAAGCTTTCAGCTACGCATCCAAACTGAGGAAGCACGGGAAGATACACGCGGGCGTACGGCCTTTCCAGTGCAGTGAATGTGGGAAGACATTCAGCCGCAAAGATGCCCTGGCACTGCACGAGAGGACTCACACTGGAGAGCGGCCGTATGAGTGCAGCAGGTGCAGCAAGGCCTTCAGTGTGCTGTCCACCCTCATTCGGCATCAGAAGGTCCACCTTGGAGAAAGGCCCTACGAGTGCAGGGAATGCGGGAAGTTCTTCAAATACAACAAAAGCTTTGTTCTTCACCAGAGAATCCACGCTGGAGAGAGGCCCTTTGTGTGCGAACATTGTGGGAAAACCTACGTGACCCGCTCAGGCCTGTACCAACACTGGAAGGTCCATACTGGAGAGCGACCATATGGGTGCAGCCTGTGTGGGAAAACCTTCACCACCCGCTCCTACCAAAATCGGCACCAGCAGTTCCATACCAGGGAGAGCACCTACACATGCGCTGAATGTGGGAAAGCCTTTAAACACAGTTCTACCCTCCACCAGCACAGGAAAACGCACACTGCAGGGTCCTCTGGAGGCCAGCGCTGGCGGAAAAGCCATCAGCGGCTAGCAGCTGGCTCAGCAGGAGAAACCTCGTCTCAGAAAGGCCTTCATGAGGGTGCCTTCTGAAAGAAGTGAGGCCTCCTACATCCAGATGCCACCGTGCACTCCAGCTGACCCTGGGAGATGCCATGCATGCCACCTGTATGGGGACTTCTGGAAGCCACACTGCATTCTCTGCCTGCCCAAATTGCTGGCAGTTATATCACTGCTGGCTCCTGTGACAGAAGCCATCCTACCTCCAACGCTAGGCAGGTCACCACTGCGTTATCTCAGTCACCCATATCGAGGGGCTGGGGATTTAGCTCAACGGCACAGTGCCTGCCTGGCAAGCGCAAGGTCGTGAGTTCGATTTCTGGTACCGGAAAAAAAAACAAAAACCAAAAAAAACAAAACTAATCAGTCACCCATATCCAGGTAGACAGGCCCCATCTCCTCCATAGGAGTGAACTGTGAATGGTAGAGCCCACGACAGGCCTCCTTTTCCTCCCTGTGACTCAGGGAAGCACGGATAGGACCCCATGTTGCCCAAGAGGAGCTGAGCCATCCTCTTGGAAGCTTCCAGACCTTGCTTGCCATTTTTGTGGACACTGTTGCCACTGCTTGTGGTCCTTGCCTGCCATAGTAAAGGCTACTTTCTGCTGCTTGGGAAACATGGTAATAAAAGCCTTGTTGTGTTAACATTTTGTAGTTGGGGTTCTGATTCTCGAGCCATGGGGAAGGTGGCTGAGTGCTGGAGTTATAGCTGTACACCACCACGGCCAGCATCACCTTTCTTTAAAGAGAGGACTGCCCGTAACCCAAACCAAAGAGCCTGCTACGTGATGGCTGCAGTTAGATATAGGTTGTCACCCAAGGGTTTATGTGCTGGAGTCTTGGTCCCAGTGCAGCATTACTGAGGTAGGGTCTAGTGGTATACGTCACTGTGGGCCTCATGCAGAAAGGATTAATGCTGTCATGTGAAGTGAGCTCATTCTCACAGTGAGCAGTGACAAAGAGTGAGGCTGGACCTGCCCTGGGGTCCTGCCTCACCATATGATTTCTCCTGCGTACTGTGACTTGCATGTGAGACCAGAGGCCAGGCTTGCAGTCTCCAAAACTGTGACCTAAACAGACCTCTTTAGCATAGTGGCCTATGCCTGTGATCCTAGCTATTTGGGAGGCTGAGGCAGGAGAATCCCAAATTGCAAGCCAGCCTGGGCAAGTTGGTGAAACCTAATCTCAAAAAATAGGGGTGAAAAAAAAATAAAAATAAAAGAGGTGGAGATGCAGCTCATGTTCTCTGGGTTCAACCTCCAGTACTAAAAAATGACTTTTTTTTTTGGTACCATGGATTGAACTCAGGCTTGAGCTTGCCAGGCAGGCACTGTGCCACTGAGCTATATCCCTGGCTAAAAACTCTTTAACAATGTTCTGGACTCACAACCAGAAACGAACCAAATGGTACTGACCAACAAACACCAAGACGCATGGACTGCCAACTGGAATTTAGGACGAGCCTTTATTCCTGGCCAGAGACTGACTGAGAGCCTCCACGCAGGGAAGGATCAGACCAATCCCGATGGAGGGATGAGAGCAGTTTTTAAACCCTAAAACCGCATCCTGTTTGGCAAACACATGTCACATCTGTAACAATGAGGGGATTTTTTATGGCAGGAACAGTACATTCCGAGAATCCAGGAGGGGTGAGAAGAACAATACATTTTGGGAGTCCAGGAAGGGCAGGGCGTTTACAATCATACATTCCAGAAATGGTAAACATGAAGATCTAACCTCAGGGCAGAGGTGGGAACTGGGAATTAAACTAGAACCTTTGGTGTCTGTGGTGGGGCTTTTACAAACAATCCCCCAATCACAGTATTTCAGCAACAGAAAACACTTTTTTTTTTTTTTTTTTTGGTACCAGGAATCCAACTCAGGACACCACACTAGCCAGGCAGGCGCTGTGCCACTGAGCTATAACCCTGGCCCCAGAAAACGCATTAAGGTCTCACCGAACCCTAGGTCTATTTGTGCCTAGGAGTGATTTTTTTTTTTTTTTTCCAGTATTATCAATTAAACTCAGCCTTGTGCCATAAGCAGTCTGCAACTAAGATACACTGTTAGCCCTTTTGAGACTGGGATGAAAAGAAAACTAAGACAGTTATGGGATCAGGGGGTTTGTAGTCTCTCAGACTGAAGCCTCATTACCATTTTCATTAACCTTTTAGAAAGAACAAAGGAAGCAGCAGGGCACGTGGGAGGATATCAACAGGTTTAGCAAGGACAATACAACTACAGGAGTGAGACTTGACCTAGTTAGCCAACATGCTGTCATTCCTTCGGGCATATCTCAGCAAAGCGTCAAGTGTTGTCCGGTGGCTTTCCACGGGGACACAGGTCCTGCAATCATTTCCTTTCTACCCATGCTTTTGCTAGACTTCCTCTGGAACCAAACAAATCACACGGCTTGGTCAGGCCTGAGGTAATTCATTGAAAGATTAAAGAATGTCCTCCTCCACAACGCTATCCTGGAACTCATCATCCTGTCTCAGCCTCCTAAATGGCTGAGATAACAGGCATGTACTATCATGGCCTGCTTAGGGTTGGGTGCAAATGCCCTGAAGAGAATTCTACCTGACTTGTGGACCTCTCCTGCACACCTCCTCCCAGGAGCACCCACAGGACAGAGACTCCTGGGGCCCAGCATAGTCTTGTGTATCACACCCACAGATGAGTCCTAGACCCCACTGTTACTGGGTAGTTTTTAGGTTTTTTGTTTGGTTGGGTTTTTGATTTTTGGGATTTTTTTTGTTTTTTTGAGACAGGGTCTCTCTATGTAGTGCAGGCTGACCTTCAACTCACTTAACTAGCCCAGGTTGGCCTCAAACTCAAGAGGATCTTCCTGCCTTAGCCTTCTGAGTGCTGGGATTACAAGTGTGTGCCACCGCATCCAGCAGGTAGTTCCTTCAGAAATGGCTCACCAGTTAAACTTATTCCAGGTCCTTCTTGGTTCAAACAAAAGAATTGAACAACAAAAGCCAAAAATGGTCAGGCGTGGTGGCACACACCTGTAATCCCAGCACTTGGGAGGCTGAGGCAGGAGGATCATTGTGAGTTTGAGATCACCCTGGGCTACAAAGTGAGCTCAATGCCAGCCTGAACTGCATAGCAAGACCCTGTCTCAAAAAGACAAAAAAAAATAGTATCAAAAGTTTATTTGAAAAGTGAGGGGTGACGGGGTAAGGGAGAAACTGGCCCTGCAGAGTGAAATCTGGGCTGAACAAGAGAGGAAAGGACAAAAAGCAAAAACGAAAGTGTACCCTGGTTACGGGAGACTTAGGGTGGGCTATCATGAGTCACAATTGTGGGTTCCTTTTCCCTTTTTAATGTCATCTACATCTATGGGAATCTGCAAGAAGTTCTACATACAGGGTCCGAGGTATTATTTGGTGCTGTCCTGGGATCCTGGTATTTTTTTATTGTTGCTTTCCTTTTTTGTCTTTTTGAGTTTCACTATGCAGTTCAGACTGGCCTCAAACTCTGTAGCCCAGGATGGCCTCAAATTTACAGCACTCCTCCTACCTCAGCCTCCTGAGTGCTGAGATTACAGGTGTGCACCAAGCACTGGCTTACCTAGGATTCTGTAATAACAAGTCCTGCTTATTTCTCCAACCAGCTTTGCCATGCCCTAAGTCCTATCTCACCACCAGTATAGAGGCTGAGCATTTGTCCTTCTGAAATCAGCTTCAGCCCTGGCCTCCCTGTTGAAGGAAGCTTATCTCATGACTTCCTGTGGGGCCCCAGGTTGCTTGGCTAACACAACCAACTCCCAAACTCAAATCCTACTTCTTCCCACTGACATGCGCTGCAGGGCTTCGTACAGGTCTTTCCTACCATGGGTCAGTCACTCTTAGTGATTTCCTTGGAGGGGTCTTCCCAGCCACCAATGCTAACTAACATTTGTTGCTTTCAGCCCCTTCTTTCTTCACAATTCCAGTTTCAATCAGTAACTACCCTGTTCCCGGGTCCATGTGCATGTTAACTGTCACCACACACTTGACTGTGATGAAATATGTCTCCAGAATTCCAGTTTCAATCAGTAACTACCCTGTTCCCGGGTCCATGTGCATGTTAACTGTCACCACACACTTGACTGTGATGAAATATGTCTCCTGCTTTCAACAGGCCTGGCCTGCACACTGTCAGGCCCTGGGGACATGTCACATGGATGGTTCTCTGCAAGACCCCAGCTGGGCCTAGATCTGGGGGAGGGAATCATCAGCTGACCTTGTGGAGGGAGGAAGCGGGTAGCAGAGGAAAGGAAGTGCACTCCTCTCCCTAGGCCACACTGTGTGATGGGTGACTGGGCAACTGAACTGGACCAATAGGGGAAGTTTTTTTCCTGGTACTGGAGATGGAACCAGGGCCTCTACACTGACCTACATCCCCAGCCATTTTCATTTTTTTATTCTGTATTTTTAGGCAAGGTCTTGCTAAATCACCAAGTTGCCCAGGTTCGTCTCAAATTTGGGATTCACATGCTTCAGTTTCCCAGAATGCTGTGATTAAGGCACTTGTCACTGATGAGTTTGGCAGACCAAGTATGTATTGAAATGTTTTTAGAAATAGTTTCCAACATTTGTAAAATCAAAAGTCACATAAAAATTGAAATCTTTTTTAAAAATTGAGATCTTTTTTGAGAAGCTGAGCCATATTAACACCAGCAAGTTGTTTCCTCACCTCTTAGGATGGACAAACCTGCTTGGTGGCAAACAGAAGTGTGATCATGAAGCCCACTCCTGTGCGACTCTAGAAATCTTGCACCTCATCCCAGCCACGCTCACGGCAGGAGCTCGGAGAAATTAGGTTACACTGGCACTGTGTACCAGGGTCAGGCATTAACATTTTATTATGAGCAAGGTAAGACCTAAAGAATAAACCCACTGCTTCAAGGAAGGGCTGAGCTGTGAGCAGTAGTACTGATCAAGGCAAAATTGTTAGTATCATGGTATCAAAAGCTGCAGGGAAGAACAACTGAGAAAAGGGGGCAGCTTGGCCACCATAATCCACCTGTTGCTGAGCTGACTCAGTCCGTGTGCAGGTGTGCATGTGTTACTAGGGACTGAACCCAGGACTTCCACACTGAGCTACATTCCCCGCCCTTTTAGTTTTTTGTGTGGGTTTGTTTTGTTTTGTTTTGAGATGGGCTATCATTAAATCGCTAAGTTGTCCAGGCTGGTCATGATCTTTGATCGTTCTGCCTCAGCCTCCTGGAATGTTGGGATTACAGGTTTGTCCTACCTGGTTCCAGGATAGTCTTTGATCCTTTCCATGGAGCTGAAAGAAAATTCTGCTGAGCCCTGCATTTCCAGTAGGTAAAGAGGTGGCAGATATTGCAGGTATAGAACTCACTCTCAAGTGACATATCCCCAATCTGAATAGCTTCAACCAAAATCCTTATTTATTGGTATATGAAACCAAAAAATCCACTTGGCATCTGCCTTCAGGTGCTAAATAGATCTGGGGCTCAAACACTAACAGCCTTTCACTGGTCTTCATTCAACTGTGCTTTCCCCCTGAAGCAATATTCTGACACATGTACACACACACACACACACACACACACACACACACACAGCCCAGCTAGCTTGCTCAGAGTCCTGCTGGGGAGACCAAAAGGCAAGCTCAAGTCAAAGACTCT